GGTACAGTCGCGTTCTAAAGTACTACATGGTATTGGGCTCTTGTTTTATAATATTATAGTAATAAATTGTTTTATTGTAGAATCATACTAGGTGTTTTACTTAGAACTTTGGAAGAGGTGGGAATTAAAAATGGTTAATGTTTACTTGAGCATTATTTGTAATTTCTATCGTAAAATATAAAGCAGTTTGTAACAAGAAAACTTAAGCTGTCCATTATGACGTCTTGGGCCACATGGAAGCCAGATGTTGATGGTGTGTTGGTGTTACTGGATGCTACTTCATCATCACTTTCATCTTCGCTTGAGCTTCCGTCATCAGGTCGATCACATGGTAATTTTTCCGGTATTCTTCCTCAACACTTTTAATTTTACTGCACAATTTTTCCCATTCACCTTCTCATTTACCTTTTCGTTCACTAGTTTAGTCATAAAACAATAGATATAAATAATTTTTCTTTCCTTCATTTTTAAAACATCGTCGCGAGTCGCAAAGTAAGCTGTGTATGCGACTGTATTTTCGGAGCGTACAAAGCGCGGGAACCAATAGCATGCAGGCACAGTAATACTGGCGGATTGTTCCCCCGTCGCGCCCCCTTCGTACCAATATGTGATAAATCGCTCAGTGCCCAAGTTCAAGGCCAGCGTTCTTTTTTCACCGTTCGTGCGTACATTAACCTCTAATAGTCAGGTGATATCAATTCAGTTTCCACTGCTGGTTTTATGTTTCAGTATTTTCATAGATTGTTTAATGAAATTATCGTTTCATTTAGCTGTACTAATATGATGGCGCGTGAATAAAGCTAATAAAATGTTGTAAAAATATGATTTTTTTTTCATCAGGATCAAATTTATTTGTGACCCATGATCAAAGGTATACTTGGTGCTGTCGCCTGTCTTAGTTTTCGGGAGCGTTCCAAAAATACCCTGTATGAAACACAGCAGCGATAACCCGCTAATACATATAATCACAATGCAGCTTCATTACGGTTGTAGCACAATTGGGTCGGCTTGGCCGGGGAAGGACCACGCACTCTTACCGGCGTAAAATAGCAGCATAATTCACACGGTACACGGGTAATCTGTATTTTACGGTAGCCAACATAAAAAAACCATACGTATAAAATTAAAAAACATAACTTACTTAAAGAAACCAACAACAATCCCGCCAAAACAACCTCCGCCATTTTCCTTTTTAATCAATACGAACTCATCTCATAAAGCTTGATAAATGGATTGCTTTTTAATTAAAATCGTAATTACAGTATGCTCAATGAAGTCAGAAATAACTTAAGTAATTAAATTGCTTTTAGGTATAATGAAAATGTGACATTGGAATTTTGAACAGTATATATTTTGGTTTATCCAATGTCGAATGAAGTTTAAATGCTATTCAAGCTGGCAGATTTGGTTCTGCGTATCTGTGTGTGTGACTTCTGATCATGTAGTCTCGGGTTCGAATCCCAGGTCGGGTCAAAATCAGTTCTTGGGGTTTTCTGTAAAGAATTTCTCAGTAGTTGCCCGTAGTCAAGAAATTGGCTGTGTTTCACCCCAACGGCAAAAAGTGTAAGATTTTTTCGTCACTACCCCTTGTGTCACAGTGTATTTTATTTTAAATGACGCTTCATTTTAATAGACGCTAGTAATTCATTTATTTGTATTTGTTAATCAATAATATGATACGTTTATCAATAATAAGTTATTAGAAGCATCAGTAGCCTAATTAATGGGGCGCGGACCGCGAAATCGAAAGGTCGGGGGTTCGTTTTCGCCATTCTACTACTGTCGTGAACCACTTTGAACACATGCATTTTAAACTTAGCAGAGGAGGTTTAAGGGAATATTAGTAGCATAACTAATATTTTAAAAAAATCTATGAAAGGAACTTCGTTCCAATTGAGTGTTCCACGACACTTACACATGTTTTATATATCATGCACCAGTATCGCTTAACTACAATCCCATATGATGGTAAGTGGTGATGTAGCCTAAGATTGTGAAGCGCACTGACTTAACAAAAGCCTATTCAGTCTTGCCTTGAAAACACCCACACTGTAACCGGATGGAAAGACAGATGCTGGCAACTTATTTCACTCCTTTGCTGTACGCATGATGAACGATGTAGCAAACCGTTTGGTTCGAATGCGTGATATGTCAACAACGAGACCGGCCGAACGTCTGGTTGTCCGATGGTGGAAGAGAGAGGCAGGAATTAATTATCCATAACATAACAAAGTTATAAATTAAATCACACACTAATAAAATATATTTATATATTTATCTAAATTATTACATGACATTTTTATATTTACTAAAATTCGATAAAATACTTAAAAGAGCTGAATTTCCAATCATCAGACAAAAGTTATCCGTCGAACAAATTATAACCTGACTGAATATAAATGTGCAACAATTAAACCATTTTTTCGCACAACTGTAATTTTTAATTTGTTCATGTTGTATTGAACGTCTCGAATGCGAAACGGAGAGGTAGGAGTTAGTAATAGAAGGAAGTAATATATTGGGAAGCCTTATTGTCGACTTACAAGGTCATGATACACGTTCTCAACAGATTCGGTAATAATTTTTTATACCGCGCCAATACATGAAAATAAGTGCCAAAGCAGCTCAGGGCCTAAGCCTTCGCTCTAAATTTGAAACTCACATAAGAAATTGTTAATTTCAATTTTAAGCGCTGATTTAGCACGTGCTCGTCGGGAAGGAAACATCACGAAAAACGTGCAGTTCGAAGAAATAAGAAAAAAATCGAAGACGTGAAGTTTGCCAACACGCATTGGGGCAGCGCGTCGGACATTTCCTTGGCCTAAAACCCTCTCAGAAGTGAGAGGAGGCTTGTGCCCAGCAGTGGGACGTATATAGGTTGTATAACTAACTCACTTTAACTAATACATTAAATAAAGCACATTAATATTAAGATGAAACTAATGAATAAAAATGATTTATTAAGTCTTGCAATACGTATTTTATTCTTTGAATATAATTTAATCTGAAGATAGATAAATCGGCCCTAAAACATTTTAGCAGTTGCCAACTAGTGACGTCCCAAACACCAGGTAACCGTAACATGTTATTAATGGGCGCCTTTTGTTACAAGAATAACATTCACAAACTGTGAAACTTATGTTAAATAACTTTTTGCATAATTTTTTTTTCATATTTGCTAGTTGTGTCCGCGACACAACAACAAAGAGGTTTTTATGTTACCTTAGAGCTTGCAAACAGCCAACAACAATAATTTTTCGTCTTTTTTTTTCTTTTTTTTTCTTTCAGCTGGACGGTACACTTCTGTTTTGCCTAACATTTTGTAACTAATGGTTTGAACAAATTCAGTCGGCGGCGCCTTGGTTATTGCTCTAATACAAACGAGTGTTTTCTAAAATTATTAATGCAAAGAATCTTTCGTCTTACCTATCAAACTACTATTCTATCATCATCAGCAAGATAACTGTCCGCTTCTGATCATAGGCCAATCCTATCTTAAAGAGAACTATCCTATAGATGAATAAGTAAGAAATATTTACAGTCATTGTCATGCTTGGCATACAAATAGACGATCTTTGATCTTCCTTCATGCGCTGATGTCGACTAAGCCCGGTGTACGAAAGTAAGGCCGGACGGTATTCATAAATAATTTAGAGTTTAAACTCAAATTTCACTATGACAAAATTTAAATCTACACATTGATCATTGTCGCCGTTCGGCTTTTGTTATCTATATATTTAGATCTCCCATGTGCGTCATCTGTCCTAACCTAACTACACGACAGCCACATTAAGGACAGTATTCAGTTAGGACAAAACATTTGCAAATGATTAATATTTACGATGAAGGCAGCGTAAAGTGTGGACGCATCTCTACATAGGTGTTGCTAATGCTAAAAATTAAAACAAATCAAAAATAAACTCTTGTCTGGGGTTTTGGCGGGAACTTCCGACGGCAGATTGCTTGCACCTGTATTATTGCTTAATGAATGGTTTCAAGTGTATGTTTTGATACGTAAAAGTGGTGCGATTTTGTATACATATTAAATGTCTGCGCATGTGAACTATTAGTGGGAACGTTCAATCAAGCTATTTCATGGTGATGTGAACCTCGGGTTATTGTGTCAGCTTATGCACATTGAAATATTATTGTCACCGACTGTCTGCTGGCTCCAATTGCCGTCATAATTTCCCATAAACTTCGTGTGGTGCGTAATCACATATGAAGAGGTTTTTGAACAAATTACTTTAAAAGATATCATCATAATTCTTGACATTGTACAACCGTACGAGTCCATTACTTAAGAAAGAAAAAATATGTGGCCAGTAATATTTAAAATTAACGAAGTTTTTTTTTTGAAGTCTGGGGAATGAAAGCCGGTAGATCAGATCTTCGAACAGAAAGGTTAATGAAAAATATTCTCTCGATAGATTTTTATCAATAAAGAGACAAAAATAGAATAGTATATTTATAACATCATAATATATTTATTTGTAAAATATGAAAGTAATAATTAAATAATATAGTAATGTAACATTAATCAACTTATTTTTACATGTAAGTGAAAATAAGTTTAGTAAAAGAAACTTATATTACCTGACATGATGAAATTTTAAAATTTTTTTTTCAGGTTATAACAAAATGCGTGAGACCGCATAAAGTTAATACCAATTATTGTAATAAAAATAGTTCGTCAAATGCATATATAATTTAAGTGTTTTCTACACACTACAATACGTACTTAATATCTGCTTGAAGAGCGCAATGCGAAGCTAAATTGCCAGTTTTACAGTCCTATGCTCACCGTGCGAGCGTAGTATTTGGGCTAAGTCTAGACTTGATTTGAATAAAAAACACTTTTTCACCACAACGCTTAACATAAAATTTTACTAACAGCCATGTACAAAAGAACTTTACTATAATAAACTACCCTCAAATCTATAAAAATTTTTTTTTTCAAATATACAAATAACTAAATGTATGTTGTATGGTATGCTGCATCAGCTACGTGCGTCGTTGATTGTCTCCGGTACCTTTACCTCAAGACCGTCCAGTTCTTTCGTGAGGGTGATCTGACATCCGAGACGGGAGGTCTCTGTGAGACTGTAGGCCAGATCTAGCATATCTCGTTCTTCGTCGCTGGCTTCCTCGGGAAGTCTGAAATAGAACAAAAAAACGTTCAACTTACTTAATGTGCGTTGCGTTCGTCTTGTAGTTGTTAAAACCGTAGTTAGAAAACAAATTGTACACTTGATGGTAAGTGGCTCCTGCTGTCCATGGATGCATGCAGCCAACTTCAAACAAAACAAGCGACAGATGCGTTGCGTTGTCAATCTGAGCACTTTTATACGTGCTACGTACTTTTGCCTTTGACTTTTATACGTGGCAGAGCCATGCTGCACCTATTATGGTGCCGTATATTATGGTGCCGTATATTATGGTGCCGTATATTATGGTGCCGTATATTATGGTGCCGTATATTATGGTGCCGTATATTATGGTGCCGTATATTATGGTGCCGTATATTATGGTTATAGCACAATGCGTCGGCTGGACCGGGGAAGGACCACACTCTTACAAAATACCAGCGTAAAATAGCAGCTTAATGCTATGGTGAGGGTAAGAGAACTGGAGACCCTTTTTACCGGGGAACGAGGCATTTCATCTTAGTCTTTAGGTATTACCAAGCATCTGGATTTTTATTCTTAATCTAGAATTGATTTATATGTCTTTGAGCCACATCATCTATTTAGAATCAGGTGGACGGTGTGCTCGTCTGTCTTTCTTATTCTATAAAGAAAGGAATAAAATGGGATACCTCACAGACTGTACTTTATACTCGATCCCAGACCATTAAGACCTTAAACACACGAGTGCCAGCACTGCTGTTTGGCGGCAGAAATAGGTGAGACGGTGGTATCTACCCAGGTAGTCTTTTAGGCAGAAAATCATTCCTACGACCTAGTATCGTATCTTATCCATCCATACACTACTGCCTATAAAGTCCACTGCTGAACATAGGTTCTCGTCCAGACGGGGGGGGGGGGGGGGGGGGGATCAGATTTATTATTTTGAGTTGCTATCAGAAAGATGCTGCTGCCCATCTCCTGTTTCAGTTTCCCTCTGTAGCCTCTTACGACGCCCACGGATCGTTGGAGCAATTCTGGCATATGTGACGGCAGATATGTAAGGAATCGTTGGTGCGATTCTGGCCTGTGTTGGTGCACAGAGCCCCTCATGTGTTGTATCATATGTGGCTGTAGATATGTGGAGAGTAGTTGGTGCGATTCTGGCATATGTTTTTTTTTTTATATAGGAGAGGAGGCAAACGAGCGTGCGGCTCACCTGATGGTAAGTGACTACCGCCGCCCATGAACAACTGCAACACCAGGGGAATCGCAGATGCGTTGCCGGCCTTTTGAAAAGGAGTACGCTCTTTTCTTGAAGGTCCCTAAGTCGTATCGGTCCGGAAAAATCGCTGATGGTAATCGATTCCACAAGGAGGTCGTGCGAGGAAGAAAACATCTTCTAAATCGCACAGTGGTGGACCGCCAATCATCCAGATGGTGTGGATGGTATCGGGAGTTCTGCCGCGATGTGCGTTCGTGAAATTTGGCGGCTGAGATTAATCCGAACAATTCCTCAGAGCACTCCCCATGGTAGATGCGAAAGAAAATGCAAAGGGATGCAACATCCTTTCGCAGTGCCAATGAATCGAGCCGATCGGAAAGGGCTCGGTCGTCGACAATTCGAGCCGCTCTGCGTTGGATGCGGTCAAGTGGAAGGAGCTGGCACTGGGGAGCCCCTGCCCAGAGATGGGAACAGTATTCCATGTGAGGCCGAACTTGCGCCTTGTAAAGTAGCAGGCGGTGTGCCGGCATGAAATACTGTCCCGCTCTGCTGAGCACGCCAAGCTTTTTAGAGGCCAATTTGGCCTTCCCTTCCAAGTGACCACGAAACTGCACGTCACTCGATATGTCGACTCCGAGGATACCGATACTGGCTGAGGCAAGAAGGGGAGTGCCTTGAAACTGAGGAGATACGACAAAGGGGTTCTTTTTAGCGGTAAACGCGCAAACTTGTGTCTTCTGAGGATTAAATTGGACTAGATTTAGTCGCCCCCAATCCGAGACTTTGTTCAGCAAAGACTCGACTTCAGACACAAGTTTGTTCCGGTACTCAGCGATGTTTTCCCGAGAAATATTGGCACGACCGGTGTATAGAGCATCACCAGTGCTGTCATCCGCATAGCAATGAATGTTACCAGTTAGCAACATATCATTGATATGCAGAAGAAATAGCGTTGGTGATAGCACACAGCCTTGTGGAACACCAGCGTTAATAGGCTTGTAGTCAGAGCATGCACCGTCTACAACGACCTTGATGCTCCGATCTGCAAGGAAGCTGGTGATCCAATTGCACAATTTCTCGGGAAGCCCATAGGAAGGGAGCTTCGAAAGAAGCGCTTTGTGCCAAACCCGATCGAAGGCCTTCGCAATGTCCAGACTAACGGCCAACGCCTCCCTCTTGGACTCTACTGCCTGCGCCCATCTATGGGTCAGGTAGACCAGAAGATCACCAGCTGATCGACCCCGACGAAAACCGTATTGGCGGTCACTAATCAGCTGGTGATCCTCAAGGTACCGTATGAGCTGGCAGTTAATAATGGATTCCATTATTTTGGAGAACAAGGAGGTGATCGCGATAGGCCTATAGTTGGATGGGTCTGAGCGGTCGCCTTTTTTAGGGATCGGGTGGACAAAAGCTGTCTTCCATGAATTCGGGACTACGCCTTGGGAGTAGGAGTACCGGAAAAGACGCGTTAGGACCGGTGCCAACTCCGGAGCACACGTCCTCAGCACAATTGGGGGGATTCCGTCAGGCCCACTCGACTTCTAGATGTCCAGGGAGAGCAGTGCTTTGCGAACCGAGCGCTGTGAGAACAGCACATCTGGCATGGAGCACTCACACCGCGGGATGGTCGGCGGTGTTTTCCCCCCGTCATCAAGAGTCGAGTTGGACGCAAAAAGGGAGCCTAAAAGGTCGGCTTTGTCTTTTGCGTCATGGGCCAGTGAGTCATCCTCCCTGTGCAGAGATGGTAGTGATGGCTTACAGAAATTCCCTTGGACAGCCTTGGCGAGAGACCAGAATGCACGGGTTCCCGAAGGAAGGCGAACTAGTTTCTCGCCAATTCCGCCTATGTGCTCTGACTTTGCCTTGGCAATAACTCTTTTGAAGGACCTGGAGGCGAAGTTATACTTCTTTTTAAGTGTGCTGGTATTTACATCCCGAGTCGCCGAAGCCGCAGCCCAGGCTTGATAACACTCCTGCTTACTGCGTAATGCAGTCTTACAGGATCGACCAAACCAAGGCTGAGATCTGCCTCCGATGGGTACCACAGATGATGGAATAAATAGTTCCATTCCCTGTAGCACCACATCAGTGACAGAGTCAGCAACAACGCTGGGATCATCCGGCGAGAAGCAAACCCGCCCCCATGGGTAGGATGCAAAGAAGGACCGCATTCCGTCCCAATCCGCCGACCTGTAATGCCAAGCACAGCGGCAATCTGCAGAACGCAACCACACTCCGGATCAGACAATGGTCCGAAGAGCCGAGAGGGGCATCGACGGAAACCTGATATCCGTCCGGATGAGAGGTCAGCAGAAGGTCCAACAGGGAAGGTGTATGATCCTCCACATCTGGAATCCGCGTAGGCGAAGTAACCAGTTGTGTCAGACCATATGCCAAGGCAAAGTCATAAACAGATCTCCCCGCATGATCGGTTAGACGTGAACCGAGCCATTCGGCATGGTGGGCGTTAAAATCGCCAAGGATCACGATCTCTGCGGATGGGACCTGTTGTAGCAAGAAATCTGTAGCCATTTGGACGTGGTCGATGAGTCGGTCTGTTTCGGCATTACCGCTATGGGACCTATAGAGGCACCCGTAGACGCGCGGATGGTCGTCGCTGTCTACGCGTAGCCAAAGGATGGACAGGTCCGAACCTTCAAGATTGCCGAGGCGTCGAGAACAGATGTCCTCTCTGACATACACGCAAACTCCAGCCCGAGGCACAAAGGAATGCTCCAATTTGTACCCCGGGTATGAGAGATACGAAATATCAGCCGGAGAGGAAACCTGCGTCTCGGTCAGAAAGAGCAAGGCCGGCTTCGCCGTCTCGAGATGGTAGTGGACGGCGTTTAGGTTAGAGTGAAGTCCCCTGATGTTGCAGAAATTCACGGATAGCGTGGCAGGGGTCGCCTTGGTGTTCTTGCTCAGTTTGCCCCTAGCAGTAATGCTTTTGAGCGGAATTTTGCCCCCCCCCCCCCCCCAGAATACGCGGGGCAGCCTGAGCACCCACGCTCAGGATCGGAATAACATGGTCGTGGATGCTCAGCGAGGGATTCTCCAGGGGTGCTGGTACCCTCCTGGGGTAGTTCTTCGTGTAATTCCGCTACCATGTTGATGGGGGGGGGGGGGGAATTGGGCCTCCGGCCACCTGCACTCACCAGACGAGACGCAGAAGCAAAGCTTCTACTTCACGCCGGTATTCTGTGAGGTCCTGGTACCAACCCGGCTCGAGCCGGCCCATACATGCAACAGCAAAAACTGCTGCGTGGCTTTACCACCGTGTGACGGCAGATTGTAAAGAATCCTTGGTGCGATTCTGGTCTGTGTTGGTGCACAGATTTCAATGAAAGTTCCACGAGTTGAATATGCATTGCTTATGAATTGTAAAGAGTAAAAAATTGTTAAAATTACTTAAAATTAAAATTACTGTGTGGTAGTGGATATTCTTACACCGCCACTACACGGCAATGTATCTAATGAAGTAATTTAATATTTCAAGGCTGGATATAGATATTTATACATGGTAGAGCCATGCTGTAGCTATATTAGTATTATAGTTGTAGCACGAATGGGTTAGCTAGACAGGGGAAAGACCACGCTATCACAGAATACCAGCGTAAAATAAACGTAAATAATAAACGTAAATACCTACTCAAATGACTAGTATTGTTATCGCCTTGTTTATATGTGTGTGCAACTCCACAGAGTCAGTAATTCATTCTTGGGGCAATCAGATTCAGAAGTAAAATTTATTTTTAAAAAAAAAGTCCCGCTGGGTTTCTTGTTGGTTCTTCCCAGGACAGAGGATGTTTTTCGAACCAGTGGTAAAGTAAAAAATGACTTTCAATAAGAATCACTTGTAATCAATATTAGATAAAAAAAAATATTCTATTCTATCGATACTAACTCATATCGATAATTTTCATTATTTTTATGCGTATGAAGTGTTGCCAAAATATACATATTATTTTACGTCTGGTGTAAAAAGTCTGGATAATTTACGTGTGGTGTAAACCATATGGTTATACCACTATCTATCAGAAGCAATAAGATTTAGCCATAGTCGTCTATTGCACCACCCACGGGAAGAAATGGGGTGGTGGACGATTTACACCGTATAATACATGGGTTGCATGACACTTGCATGAGCATAACATGATGTGATATATTTTGGTGGTAAGACCTCTGTTCTCTGGTGGTAGGGCTCCGTTCCGCCTGGGTGTCTATATGGTTCGATAATTTGTAGAAGCTGATAATATAAAAATAAATTCGCGTCCATTCTGTTCGATGTAACAAATCCCGAGCCAACATAAGAAGTATAACTTCAGAAACTCACCTCTCGAAGTCCTCCGGCTTCAGTATCACGTGGCATGTGGAGCATGTGACGGTGCCTTCACAGGCGCCGAAGCCCTCAATGTTAAGGTCATTGTTCACAACTACGTCCAAAAGAGTGTCACCAACGTTGGCCACAGTCTCAAGACGCTTGCCGTCGTTTAAGACGAACGTAACTTTGACTCTGGTGAAAAAAAAAAGAAATGTATTGGTAACGGAAAGCATCTAAGATCTAAGTGTAAGTATTTAATCAACGGTGAAAGTAGAATTGGGTAATATCGCTTTTTCTGAATATCATATCGAAACTATATATCGATATTTGCTATCGGATTTCGAAACACTATATCTTCTGAAACTATATATTGACGCTATTATGCCGTTCTAGTATACCTCGAGATGAGATGAGTTTTAGTATACCTCGGGGAATCGTGGTCTGGTATTTTTTAAATTTTGTGCAACCTAGGCCCATGAGGGTAGTACTATTTATAGGGCGACGTAATATGAAAAGGGAACTTTTATTACAAAATTGATGAAGTGACAAACGAACTTGCAGACCACCTGATGGGAGTCAGGAAGTTAGCGGTGTCTGACCCCCGTGCCTCGAAAAGCACGTAAAGCAGTTGCTCCTGCGTCTGATCTCTTTTCGGTCGTGTCGGTTTACGGCCCCATCTGTTTATGAGAGTGAGGGAATAGAGAGTGCAACTGAGCTTGCGCATACACTTGGGCACTATAATCTTGTCCTGCGCCGATGCCTAGTCTCCGTTGGAGCTGGCCGCCGTGACCGATATTCGGTATGGAGGGCATTATTATTAAGTGGCCACTGCAGTCCATGGTCCACACCTGCAACCAATTTCAAACAAAAAAGGCTACAGTTGCGCTCACTCTGAGGACTAAGAAGGAATGCCTCACAGCCTGTATGAAGGAACGCCTCAAATGGAAACACAAAAGTGAAGGCACTTTTTGGCGGTAGAAAAAGGTAAGACGGTACCTAGTCGGCCTCATAAAAAGAAAAAGAGTCCTACCATCTAGTTTTATTCCAGAATTATTCCCTATCCATTTTTTTTGAAGGGTTTGCCTATTATGAGAACATGTTTATGACTTAAAGATATACAATAGTACCAGCCTGCCCATAGAATTGACATCAATTTTTTATTCGATTTAAATTAAATCAACGATTGCCAAAACTAACTGTTACAGCCGCATATCGAGTAGGTACGAGTAGTATCCGATATTTCTTATTCAGTTATTCAAACCCAAAAATAAAAACACTGACGAATAGATTGCATAGTTTCAAGTCGAAATGGATAACTTAAATGCTTTTATTTATTTATCTTCTCTTCATAGAATAAAGCAAATTCACTTCCCGCCATCTGTACGCTTAGATTTTTTAAACTACGCAACGGATTTTGATGCTATTTTCATCAATAGACAGAATGATTAAAGAGGAAGGTTTATATGTATAACAAATGCATATTATATATTATATAATTCTGTCCGTGTGTATGTGACTGAACTCCTAAACGGTTTTACCAATTTTGATGAAATTTTGTGTGTGATTGAGTTGGTTAGAGAATGGTTTACATTGACAATTGGACCAGGTAGGTGGCGTTGTTGTCGAGATCCATAAATGAACCGTGCGAAGTCGGGACGGATCGCTCGCTTTTTTTTTTGTAGGATAGGGTGACAAACGAGCACACAGTCCACCTGATGGTAAATGGTTGCTGTGGCCCATAGACATCTACATTTATCCTCAATAAAGAATCAAAATGCAGATACGTCACCCGTGAAGACTAAGATGGAATGCCTCTTTTCCAGTAAAATGGGTCTCCAGTTCTCTACACTCACCATACGAAACACAGCAGTATCAAGCTGCCATTTTACGCTGGTATTCTGTGAGAGCGCGGTCCTTACCCGGTCGAGCCGACCCATTTGTGCTAGAACTATACTACTAATATAGCTGCAGCATGGCTCTACCACGTAAAAATTTATTTATAAAAAGTAAAGTTTTTTTATTTATGAAAACAGCTCACAAATATCCTACTGCTATGTACAGGCTTCCTCTCGTTCGTGAAAAGATTTGGGAACGTTTATGATAATTATAATGTCCTCATGACCGAGTTTTGGAGACGAGCCGTCTGAGCAGGAGAGCATTATTGTACACGCAAGTACAGGTGCACTCTTCGTTCCCTCACTCTCATAGTCCGACGGAACGGCAATCCGACACGACCGGAGAGAACACAGGCGCAGGATAGATGGCATTGTGTGCTTTCCGAAGTACGCAGGTGGAACACCTTCAACCCAACTTCTAGACTCGATGTTACTAATTAGAATTTCTTAACCGAAAAACCCAATGACTGCTTTTGAACCGAATCCCAGTTTCGAACCCTACACCAAGGAAGCTGTTTAAGAAAAATTTGGGCATTTATCGTCACTGCTGGTCTTGGTGCAAGAGATACGGTGTCAGCGAGAGCCGTGATAGCTCAAGAGCTAATCGGTTCCACTGCCTGGCCTACATATGGGACAATTCCATTTTTAGATACGTATAATCAGACCGAGCGGCAAATGTACTCGTATCTCTCGGTCATCTAGCTCGAACGTTCGGGCACAGCGTGACAGCAGTAGATCGTTAAAAATATATGCTTGAAATTTCTCGCAGCTCAGAGTTCATGGTAAATTGGTAGTTACGTCGCTTTTCGCATGAATCGAGAACTATGGGGGGCTACGCCACGTTGAGTGGCGTTGGGCTACCCTCCTCCAACTCTCTGCCCCCAAAAATCAGGTTTATATTTTCAAAAATATTACGAAAACATAACCTCAAAATGAGATTTTTAAAAATAAAACTAAGCACGTCCGGCAGGATATGGAAGTGGGTGGTGACTCTACAACTCCCCTCCCCCTCCCCCACCTCCAAATTCAGGCGACTTGATTCTAAACCTTACCCTCACCCTATCCTATAAATAAAAAAATATATACTACGCAACTTGTGTGACCCTCTTGGTTGGTTGGACGCCCTCCATAAATTTTCATAGATTAGAAACGGTGTCGCAATACCGAGGCGCTGTTTTGTCTACGCATATATTGTACGAGCTATAATCAAGCTTGTATTTTTCCAATCTGATGGTATTGGTACAATTTAAACCCTCATTACAACAGAGTTTTATTTGTACAATATTTTTAATCTAGTAAGTCTCTATGTTGCAATCTATTAACTCCATTTCATTCATCCATTACTGCCTATAAAAGTCCACCCCCATAGATTGGCTTACATGGGAGGATTTTGCCATAGTTGCCACGCTTGGCAAGCGGGTTGGCACCCGTATTTTTTTATTATTTCGAGTTGTTATCAGGAAGACGCTGCTGCCCACCACTTTCCATCAACTTCCCTCTGTCGCGTCTTATGAGACCCACTGGACGATATGGGATAGTAGATATTCTTACAAATTTGCATAGTAGATGTTTATGTAAGTTTGTTGTAATACATACCACAACCAGATATAACAATAAGAATAGAAATCGATTTCGATCGAATAAGAACATAAGAATAGAAATCGATTGCAGATTGTTTAGAATGGACTGAAATGTGATAATTTTATTAATTATGGTTAATTTTATTTATTTAATAAATTTGTTATTTTTTTTAACTGATTATTTTAACAGTTAAAATATATATTAACCATCTTTAATTCAAGGACAAGAGCCGATGAATGCCTCTCTGTAGCTAGCTACCCAAATTACCTAGTAAGTTTACAACAAAACCCTGCTCTCTGCTTAGCCTTTTACCATAATACGCAGTGGCCAATAAATGTATGTAGGTATAGATAAATATTTTATTGCAATACATTAAAATGGTATAATATTATCTTTATGCTATTGACTAGAATGACAGTCCTAAGCCTGTTCAAGTATGAAGGGAAATCAAATTTTATGTCAAATTTTAAGTTTATAATATTTTTTATCACACAACGTTACGACTCGAGCAAATATCGCCCGACTGAGACTGACTGCATTAACCTGTTTAAATTGCATCTATCAGTCTGACTGTTGACTGATTCAGTCAGTGACTGACTGTGATAACCATTCCATAAAGATAGATACAATGTAAACAACTTAGTAGTACTGATGACCGAATTGAACTAATAGAACTAATAGAACGAACTAGTTCACTGTCCGTAATGTACTAGTACAGAATGATCTTTAAAATGACCGACCAGGCACAAGACTACCTTCATAAACTTTATACAATCCAGATACCCAGAGTTTGTGTGCAAATGTGTTACATTGCTGAAATATCTAAAAAAAAAATGGTAAAAACTTCTATAGCCAAATAATACACTTTATTTGAAAACATGCAAAACAAACCAAAATTACAAAGTGCATACTAAAAGTTCTGCACTCTTGACTGACAATAGATATTTGACTTTAGAAAGTCATATTTTTTAAAACTTGGAAAATTCATGTATTAATTAAAATATTTTTGTCGAGAAGTCGCATGTAAATTGTTTATTATCAAAAGTTGATGCTCGTCATCCTTAGCAAATATGGTATTAACGCTATAAGATTTTAGAGTGATGATTTTTTATGATTTTATAAGTCTCTCCGCAAGATTACACTGCTACTTATCTTCACGCACAATCCCTGACGGGGTAGCCAGAGAGAACAGATCGCCAAGTGTCACGATCCTTACATACCTCTTTCACTTCTTTCAGATTCATTATCTTCTTCATGCATGCACGTCTAAGTATCCGAGTACTTTTGACCCTACCCTCTTCGAGCAATTTGCTCACATGGTCTTCGAAAGTTAGTCTCGGTCTACCTCGACACCTTTTAATATTAACTTTCGCGCTATATATTTTCTTCACCATTCGGTCTTCACTCATTCGCTCAACGTGCCCAAACCACCGAAGCACGCCCTTATCAATTTTTGTGATAAGGTCATCTTTCAAACCTGCCATATTGCGAATCTCTTCGTTTCGCTTTCGTTCGGCCATGGTAACGCCGCACATTTTACGAAGAGATCGCATCTCCACTGCATTCAACTTACTTTTATGCTTCTTCTGGCATACCCAGGTTTCGCTGCCATATAACAAAGTCGGTACCAACACTGCGTTATGTATTGCAAGGCGTGCACTCTTCGCTACGCCTTGCCTTTTGACTAACGCAGCCAGGGCACCATTGACTTTGTTCCCGGCAGCGACACGCCTGTCCACATCTAAATCACATCTTCCATCCCGGCTAAAAGCACTCCCCAAGTAAAATAAAAAAAAATAAAATTAAAAATAAAATTAAAATTAAATCTTCAAAATGGTTTTGGGAGGGAAGCACCTTATCAATCAGTAATTTGATTGTGTCCAAGTTTCTCTCCGTGATGAAATTTGTGAAGTTCGACCTTTGAAGAACTGAGAAAAATGTGGTTTCTGTTAGGTCTGTCTGACTATTTAAAAAAAACCAACATATCACCCATGAGGAGACTCGAGGATTTTTGAGAATAGTAATATAATCTTAGAAAGATACAGTGTTACGGTAGCTACATTTCAACTCTATCTATCTCTTTCTAACATAGTTCCTATTTATAATCCCAATTAAGCTCATAACTTTAAAAAGTGATTTCTTGAAATGTACATATTTTCATGTAAAAAGCCACTAAGGTACTAAATCAATCAATGAAATTGTTCTGTGGCATACTAAAGCTTGCTTGGTAGAGAATGTTATAAAACATTAAGTCCATCCTTTATATCCCTTACTAAAAAGTGTAAAATAAATGTTCGCGACGGTTTAAAGACTAAGCGAAAAGTGATGAAAAAATATTAATTTGTTTAGAAAGTGAAATTAGCAACAAAATCGAACAAATTGTGTATTAATATGATTTTTCAATGTGTTTACAACTCTTAATATACTTATATAGAATATCTTTTTTAATAATAGTTGAAACTAGCTGTTCCCCGCGACTTCGTTCGCGTGTTAGGGTTTTTATGTTTCTGCGCGGAACCCTGATTCTTTTTCTATAATAAAAGTAGCCTAAGTTACTCCTTATGAAATCAGCCATCTGCCAGTGAAAGTCCCGTCAAAATCGGTCCAGCCGTTTCGGAGATTACCCGGAACAAACAGACAGACAGACAGACAAAAATTTTAAAAATTGTATTTTAGTTATAGGTATCGTATTTACTTTCATATGCATTTAGTAAAAAACTGTAATTTTGACGTTACAAACAGACACTTCAATTTTATTTATTTGTATAGATAAACAACTTTAATCATTTAATAAAAATTCGACCAATCACAGCGCAGCATATCGTGGAACTTTCTAGAAGTTAATTAACTGCGCAATAGTTTATATGAAAATAATAAGAATATTTTTGTGTTCTGAAAGAGTTGTAAATATGATATTTAGTTAGCATATGGTGTATAGATTGCAATAGTAAAGAGATAATTTGTGTAAATAAACGCATTTGATAAATATAGTAAAATTAAAGATTTAATGTGCACATTTATTATGAAAATTTTGTACATTTTGATTAATAACTTTTTTAAATGTAAATATATTGAGTAACCTTTATCACATACTGTTAAAGGACCAAAATGCCTATTTAATAGTGTATAATGTGTTAGTGTAAAAATTAGCATTATATAGAAAAAATTGCGATTTGTGCTAATTACATAATGAAAATGTTTAAAAATAAAGAGGCGAAACGGAAAATGGCAAGCGGCTCTCTATAGAGTTTAGCCGAAGTCTACCTTATGGGGGCAAATCACAGTAACATTGTAGTAGGAAGAACTACCAGTAACAAGCAGTAGTATCCGGTAGTAGCTGAAGTGACTAGTAGCAGAACACAGTGAAAAGTTATAGTGAAATAGAAAAAGTTTAGCTAGCCAAATCGCAGTTACACATAGTCGAAAAAAGTGGCAACTGAAAATTCTCAGTTGCATATAGTAAAATAGTGTTAACTAGCCGAAAAAAGTGGTAACGGAAATTTCGCCGTTACATATAGTGAAAAGTGTTAGCTAGACGGAAAAAGTGGTAACTGATATTCGCAGTTACAAAAGTGTTAAATTCAACCAATTTTAGTTGATTAATAGCTGCTAGTCAGTAGTGTTAAAAAACCAGCTACTACCAATAGATATTTTTGATACTACCAATAGAAATTTGTTACTTCCAATAGATATTCGAAATTACCAATAGATATATTTGAAATTACCAATAGAAATTTGTTACTGCCAATAGATATTTAATATTACCAATAGATATTTTGAAAATACGAATAGAAATTTTAAAACCAATAGAAATTTGAATATTACCGCATACTTTAATTAAATCTGTGTTTGAAATATTTAGTGACCAACCAATAGTGAACAACCATAGTTGAACAACCGTGTTCAATAAATAAATAGTTATAAAATTTCGCGACTAATTAATCAGTCGAACCGCTGGCCACTCCCTTGCTGTTTTAATTTATAAATCGTGCATTTTTAATTCTGAACCTCAGTCCACAGTTCTCCAACAGTATACACAGAGACGGCAGTGAAAGTATCCTCCGGAACCTATAGGTGTAGGACGTGAGCAGCTCGCGGAGTATCTTCGACAACATTTACTCCGGAGAGTTATGCCTGTCCGGCACAATAAAGATTGAATAAATAATATTAAATTAAAAATATCAAGAACCCCCTAAACAGAAGAAATGATCATCTTCAAACTACTGAAAAGATTTTCTTGAATCATAGCTAAGAACACTTGTGATGAAGTCACCTTCCAAACAAAAAAACCACACCGAAATTGGTTCACACCACTTCACATCTGGTGCCACAGACAGACAGACAGATAGACAGACACACATAGCGGTCAAACGTATAACACCCCTCTTTTTGCAACTGGGGTTAATAAGTAAATACAACCCTATTTGTGTTAGTTTTCTAGCCACAGCCACATTTTTGATGGTACTGAGAGAAAAGACCAACATACTATTACTTATAACTAATAATGACACAGCAAGTAAAGGTCAACATCAATCTTGACTCTTTCACCTTACTGTAGTTGTGCAATTCCCTCCAAAAAGAATATTATTTATGCCTAGTGATGATGCTAATTTTTAACCAAATTTCGTGTGTCAACACATCTTCTGAACTTATTGTTACTGTAAGCTTACAACAAAATGTCTTATTTTTTTATTCAAAAACAACAATTCTATAGAATTCAATTATACATAATTCTTCCTTCTACATTATTACTTTTGATTATTATTACATTTCAAACACTAAGTAATTGCTAATTAACTTTAAATTAATTTATGTAATGACAGAAATTATCATACTTGTTTCCACAGGTTTGTTGCCATGCTGTAACACAGTATTACTTCTGTGTTCCGCATGACAACTCTCACAGAATACAGTTTAATAAAAATATAACAATGCAGTATTTACTGTAATCCAAAATTGGCAATTGAGATTTCGACCTTAGTCCTCAAAGGAAACAACCTACATCTCATCTAAAGGTCACTGTCATCACTCAATGGATTGCATTCTATAGTCAAAAAACATTGAATAAAAACAGCAAAATAATCAGTACTTACTTTTCACTTTCCAGTGCAAGTTTCGATGTTGATAACGACGCAACACTTTTATAATTTACAAAAGTGGACGCTTTAACATTATTATTTAATAAAAACCGAATTCGAGCGCTGGAGAAAATTCTAAGACAGTTTTTAAGAAACATTTTGAATGTGATCAGGTTATAAAAAAGGTGTAAATTATACGCGATTAAGGCGTCAACTATAATTATGCTAAGCTTCGATAAGCGTTTGAGGCTGTAAACGATTAAACTTAATTCTAACTTCTATTTTATCACAGCTCAATCTTTTCTGGTATACTCTTTGGTCTCTACTCTCGTGCTGTCAGAGTCAACTGCTGTCATGGATGTCATACTGAAGCTGTTTTTTTTATATAAATGGCTTTACGGCTCTGGGTTCTAGCCCTTCTGAGCCCGACTGAAGCTGAAGTGAAGAGCAGCTATGAGCATTATAACGTATCTGGCCCAAGACGCAAAAGACAAAGCTGACCTTTTAGGCTCCCTTTTTGCGTCCAACTCGACTCTTGATGACGGGGGGAATACACCGCCGACCATCCCGCGGTGTGAGTGCTCCATGCCGGATGTGCTGTTCTCACAGCGCTCGGTTCGCAAAGCACTTCTCTCCCTGGACATCCAGAAGTCGAGTGGGCCTGACGGAATCCCCCCAATTGTGCTGAGGACGTGTGGTCCGGAGTTGGCACCGGTCCTAACGCGTCTTTTCCGGTACTCCTACTCCCAAGGCGTAGTCCCGAATTTATGGACAGCTTTTGTCCACCCGATCCCTAAAAAAGGCGACCGCTTAGACCCGTCCAACTATAGGCCTAACGCGATCACCTCCTTGTTCTCCAAAATAATGGAATCCATTATTAACTGTCAGCTCATCCGGTACCTTGAGGATCACCAGCTGATTAGTGACCGCCAATACGGTTTTCGTCGGAGTCGATCAGCTGGTGATCTTCTGGTCTACCTGACCCATAGATGGGCGGAGGCAGTAGAGTCCAAGAGGGAGGCGTTGGCCGTTAGTCTGGACATAGCGAAGGCCTTTGATCGGGTTTGGCACAAAGCGCTTCTTTCGAAGCTTCCTTCCTATGGGCTTCCCGAGAAATTGTGCAATTGGATCATCAGCTGCCTTGCAGATCGGAGCATCAAGGTCGTTGTAGACGGTGCATGTTCTGACTACAAGCCTATTAACGCTGGTGTTCCACAAGGCTGTGTGCTATCACCAACGCTGTTTCTTCTGCATATCAATGATATGTTGCTAACTGGTAACATTCATTGCTATGCGGATGACAGCACTGGTGATGCTCTATACACCGGTCATGCCAATATTTCTCGGGAAAACGTCGCCGAGTACCGAAACAAACTTGTGTCTGAAGTCGAGTCTTTGCTGAACAAAGTCTCGGATTGGGGGCGACTAAATCTAGTCCAGTATAATCCTCAGAAGACACAAGTTTGCGCGTTTACCGCTAAAAAGAACCCCTTTGTCGTATCTCCTCAGTTTCAAGGCACCCCCTTCTTGCCTCAGCCAGTATCGGTATCCTCGGAGTCGACATATCGAGTGACGTGCAGTTTCGTGGTCACTTGGAAGAGAAGGCCAAATTGGCCTCTAAAAAGCTTGGCGTGCTCAGCAGAGCGGGACAGTATTTCATGCCGGCACACCGCCTGCAACTTTACAAGGCGCAGGTTCGACCTCACATGGAATACTGTTCCCATCTCTGGGCAGGGGCTCCCCAGTGCCAGCTCCTTCCACTTGACCGCATCCAGCGCAGAGCGGCTCGAATCGTCGACGACCGAGCGCTTTCCGATCGGCTCAATTCATTGGCACTGCGAAGAGATGTTGCATCCCTTTGCATTTTCTTTCGCATCTACCATGGGGAGTGCTCTGAGGAATTGTTCGGATTAATCCCAGCCGCCAAATTTCACGAACGCACATCGCGGCAGAACTCCCGATACCATCCACACCATCTTGATGATTGGCGGTCCACCACTGTGCGATTTAGAAGATGTTTTCTTCCTCGCACGACTTTCTTGTGGAATCGATTACCATCAGCGATTTTTCCGGACCGATACGACTTAGGGACCTTCAAGAAAAGAGCGTACTCCTTTTTAAAAGGCCGGCAACGCATCTGCAACTCCCTCCCTAGTGTTGCTGTTGTTCATGGGCGGCGGTAGTCACATACCATCAGGTGAGCCGCATGCTCGTTTGCCCCCTCTCCTATAAAAAAAAACATAACGCTCATAACTGTCTATTTCTCCCCAGTAGGCAAACTGTTAGCCGCCGACTGAGTTAGCGGCGTATCGGTTTAGTACGCCCTTCCATATATTTCAAATGGAGTGTTCACAGTTTGCTAGTTTTGCGCTCACTGTACGCAGTTTGCAGCGTTACGCGCGCCGACTATCTTAGTGAGCGGCCGACTCCCACCAAAACCGGTTCCAGTCGGCGGCGGCGATTGGTTGTTCGCCGGGCGTAGTGACTCAGTTTGCCGCAAACTGATTATTCGGATAGTTGGAAAAAAGCTATCATCGTGTTAGGACGTGTTTTTTTGCATCGCACCTAACTAATCTCAACGCACACACACATCACTGAAAATCCAAGATGTCCTTTGATACGGAAAGGTTCATTAGTGAAATACAGAATAGACCATGCATATGGAACATGTCGAGTGAAGAATACAGCAAAAGAGTATTTAAGCAGAGCAATTGGAATGAAGTCGCTGATATTATATACGATGATTGGCAAAACTTAGAAGAAAACACTAAACAAAAAAGAAGTAAGTTCCATTCTAATGAATTTATTATTTATTCAACAATATACTTGTATCACTCACTACATAAAACAAAGTATCATAATTTACATAGTATTTACGGCTTTACACACTCCGTTACACTATTTCTTCCTGTAGCTACAACTTACAAATATTTCTCTTGCCAGGGTAGCTTTCCTTCGTTAAGAAAATAGTTTTTAAAGTTTTCTCTTGTTATTTTTCCAGAATTTGATACAGTAATAATTTGGTTCCTTGAACTTGTAAGAGTTATTGAGGTACGTCGCGAAATTTGTGCATATTGTGCTTGTTCTCTTGCTTTGACAAAATTATGTAAAATACAAACAGCTTTTACGATAGCGATGGTTGTATTCACATTAGTAGCGATCGGTGTATGCAGAACTCTCCATTTGCTTGTTAGGATGCCGAATGCACATTCCACGCATCTCCTAGCTCGACTATGACGATAATTGTAAATTCGCTCTTCCTTATTTAAACTTTTATTAGGAAAAGGCCTCAAGATATGCTTTTGTAATCCAAATGCCTCATCTCCAAGAAACACGAAAGGTTGGGGCAATCCATTTGAATCAGGCAATTTAGTTGAGTTAGGAATCTTCAGAGACCCACACGCCAATTTTTTGCCAAAACCACTTTCTTTAAATATATTACTGTCAGCATTTCGTCCGCAAGCACCTACATCAATAGCTATAAAAGAACAGTTTGCATCTGCTACGGCTAACAGAACAATTGAGAAGAACTTCTTATAATTAAAATAGTTAGACCCACTTTTTGGTGGTTTTCTAATACGGATATGCTTGCCATCTTGATAGTTGGTTTTTTTTATAATATCGTTTTGCTATTTCTAGCCACAATTCTTCAGAAGGTTCCGGCATTTCCTGTGGCTGTAAAATATCCCATATAATGCATGCAGTTTCACTTATTATTTTCGATACCGTCGATTTTCCAACAAGAAACTCTTGTGCAATTTTTCTGTAACTTAGTCCACTTGACAGGAATCTGGAAAGAATATTGAACTACCGATTATTTCTGTTTCAGTAAAAGACCTACAAAAAAAATGGAAGGGTTTGCGCGACTATCACACCAGAGAAAAAAATAAGGATTCCTCAGTCAAAAGCGGAAGTGGGGCAACAAAAAAACGCAAGACACCATACTTGGACATGTTACACTTTTTAAATGTTTTCTAGAGTTAGCAACCAGACATCTGGCAATATTAGCGCCGAGACGTCTAGCGACAGTAGCGCTATTTTAGATGAAAATAATTCTACTGACTCGGTAGTTAATGTCAGTAGACCAAAAAAGATGACTGTGTTTCAAGAAGCACTAATTAACTCGATGGAAAAAAAAAGAGAAAACGATCCAGATATGAACTTTCTACTAAATATTTTACCGGAAATGAAGACAATGTCCCCAACACAGAATTTTGAATTTCGGTTCGAAGTGATGAAAATTATTAAAAATATAAAATATAGTGTACATAATAATTATGACGGTGGTATGATGCAAACTGGATGGACGAATGCCTACCAGTACCCACATCAGTATGGCTATGCGAGTGGAAGCAGCAGTACACCAAATGTGCAAAACTACCCTCGAAACAGTCCATGACATAGCTCTACAGGTTCTTCAGCGGAAGTAGAAGACATAGAAGCAATATTGCGAGGCGATTCAAACCACATTGAAGATGAGGAATGACTGGTTACCAACTTAATGTTACCATATTTGTTCCTAATTCAATTTAATAATACAGTAATTTTGAAAAGTGATTGTTAAATTAAAAACTATAAATGCCAAAGTGACTTTGTATTAAAATAAAAATAACATATTTTTTTAAAATCCTAAAGCGTTAATTATTTACTTACCTCAAAGTTATAGTAAGCCATTCTTTGGGACATAATGTATCTCTTGTGATATTATTTTTAGCTATGTACTGGGTTATAGATTTCAACAATTCACCAAATGTATGAGAAGTCATATTGAAATAGTCGTAAAATTTTTCTGGATGTTTCCTTAGTTCTGGGTAAAGAGTGTGAAATTGTCCAATGCTCAACCTTTTCTTGTATAATGGGTGAACCCAGTGCTTCCTTTTATCCTCTTTCAGCGCTTCTAAGATACCAATTACTTCAAAAATATCCATCGTGACCAACACAACCACTCCCTTCGTACAACAAAAGTAAAGTGATAATTCAGTCGGTCGGCTAAATAAGCGGCTAACTCTTAACAGTTTGCTTGCGACGCACGAAAATTGATTTGAGTCTGCAGCTAACTCAAATTTCAGTTCGCTGCAAATTTGCGGCTCACTCAGTCAGCCGCTAACTGTTTGCCTACTGGGGACGCAGCCTAACGATCCGCAACGCACAGAGTACCTTTGAACCTTTGAGTTATTATAATATTAAGGAATTTATGAATGATAATAACCTCTGGGAATGGGGTGATCTCTACCAAGCTATTTCAATTTTTTTTTTATTTGTGTAACATACATATATGATTGTAAGCAGTGGTGTAGCTAGGCGTGGGCGAAGTGGGCCCTCACCCACGGCCTCGCACTAAAGGGGCCTCGCGAGGCCCCCTAAAATGTGATGCCCCCAGAGTTTACCACAGACGATTAATTAATTTTATCACTTTTACGCTCGAAAAAGAAAGTCACAAATTTAAGTGTGTTTGTTTGGGGCCTCGCAAGAAGCTCCACTTAAGTGCGACTGCGAGACCGTTGTAACTACCTTCGATGACCGCGACTGTTACTTTGACGGAATACGAAACTTGTCAGGAATTAATAGATATGAGTAGGTATATATACTACCGTACGTGTGTGACGGGTCATATATTTTATATGGACTTGGTGCGTTCGGAATTCCGAATTGGAATATCGAAACGGAATTCCGTATGTATGTGGCCGGCCTAAGAAGGCCATTAAATAAAAATAGTACGTTTTTTATATGTTGTTTGGCTAATAGCGTGGCGTTGACAATCTCAATAATGAGCCTATTTCGGATTTTCGTTTTGATGATATTTACTGAACTGAAGCACCGTTCACAATCCGCATTAGAGTGAGGAAGGCATAGCAAATCGACAGCAAATTTTGCTATATTCTGAAAGTCATCTAACGCACATATTTCTGCCCGAAATTCGTGAACTTATTAAAGAGCATAGGTAATCTTCTCAACGCATCGTCCACATTTTACATTATTTCTTCATTTACAATCCGAGGCAATGTGAAAACTCGTATGAATTGCGTACGATTTTTGTTTCGATCGTACATGCATATAACTCTTAAAAAAATCGTATGAATACGATTTAAACCATACATCTGGCAACACTGCTGCCAGCTGTCACATTGGCATTGGTGATCAATTTTTTTTCATCATTTATGGCACTGGTATACATTGGCTACAAAGTCTTCAGTCAAAAACAATACGTAAATCGGCATCAACATATAATTTTACACATATAATTATTACAATAATAATAAAGTAATTTATACAAATAACAATATGTTAACAGGTCAAGAGTACCCTAAACCGTAGAGCATGTATGAAGGGAATAATGAAAGTGGACGAAGCAAAACAAGTATGTAAGGATCGTAGCAAGTGGAAAGAACTGGTCTCTGCCTACCCCTACGGGAAAGAGGCGTGATTATATGTATGTATGTATGTATGTACAATATGTTAACTTTCTTGAAAATACCATACGATTTGACGGTAGCCTAAACCAGCAGATAGTCGATGGAAAGTAACTAAAATAGACATAATAACTTGAGACGTACGTATATTACTATTGAAGCACATTTTATATAATATTTATGTAATACCTTACAAGTGCAAATATTTTAACACAAATACAACACCGCTTTTTACGTATCAAAAAATTTATTATTATTAAAAAGTTAAAGTCGCCTTCAAAGAAACTCTCAAAGTCCGATGGGGCAGTGAACCGACATGACCAGAGAGAGATCAAGCACAGGATCAACAACTTGACATGCTTACCAAGGCAAGGGGGTGAAACACCGCCAACTCCCTGACTCTGGGCAGCTACTAAGAATTTCTTGACAAAAAACTCAGTAATTAAATGTTTGATCTGACCCGGAATTTAAATCCGGGACCTCATAATAAGCAGTCGCTTTTACGACCATTAGAGAAACGATGCAGTGTGTAATATTAGTGGAAACGATGAAAAATTACTCTGGTAGTGATGTGAAGTGAACATCAAATTATTGTGTCTGCATATAAATACTCACGCCTGTCACCCAGAGGGGTAGGCAGAGACTACGGACTTCCATTTGGCATGATTCTGACACACATCTCCCGCCTCCTTTACATCCATATATCTACGCATACACGCTCGTCGGTTAAGAATACTCCTTACCTGATCCTTTTTTAATTTTTTCGATTTGGTTTCAATTTGGTCGATAAACCTTCGTCTAGGGCGTCCCTTCCCGACTCTGTCGTTTACTTCTGCAACATAAATTTGCTTTGTTACTCTTTCCTCTTTCATTCTTTCTACATGACCAAACCACCGAAGCATTCCCTTCTTAATCTTGGTCACAACGTCATCTTGCAAACCACACTTTTCTCTTATCACACGATTTCTCACCTGTCATTCGGATTCAAACTTAGCATTCTCCTTAATGACCGGATTTCAAAAGCATTTATTCTACTGTCGTGCTTCGTCTGCCACACCCAACTTTCAATACCATACATTAAAGTAGGAACTAACACAGCATTATGAATTGCCATACGTTCCTTTTTTGACACATTCTGACTTTTCATAATAGCGTGTAGAGCCCCATTCACTCTATTTCCTGCGTTCACTCGTCGTTCTATATCCTTATCAAATCTACCATCCCTGCTAAATACACATCCCAAATATACAAACTCATCTACTTGCTCGACCAACTTCCCTTCTATTCTTATTTCATATAACGTTTTACTTTCTTCTCATTCAAAAACTATCACTTTCGTCTTACTTGCGTTCACTTTTATATCCCTTTCTTTTAATGACCAGTTCATTAATGTTACCATCATTTGCAACTCGGCTGCCGAACGATGCAAATATGACTTGATCATCGGCGTACAAAAGTTATTTGACGGTTAACTCACCAATTCTCAACCCAAATTCTTCATCTTTCAAAGTTTCCAATTAACTGTCCATATTCAGGTATAACAGCCACGGGGAACCTGCACAGCCCTATCTGACACCTTTTTGGGATGCCAAAACATTTGGTCCGAGTAGACCCCGTTGATCCTGACACAAGCACTAGAGTCCCTATAAAGAGCCCTTAATGCCTGTATCAAACCTGCGCTCAATCCGAATGAGTTCAGTATTTGCCATAACACATTACTGTCCACTCTGTCCACAAACTAATAAGAAACTCTGTCATAAGCCTTTTCCAAATCCATGAACGCACAAAAAACTTTCTGAATTTTGGTCAAAAACTTCTCTGCAATCAAGCGCATGGAAAAGACTTAATCTATACCTCCCATCCTCTTTATAAATCCAGCTTTTTCCATTAGTTTCTTCCATAACTCTTTCAATTAACACCTTAGCATACAGTTTACCCACAATGCTAAGCAAGCTGATACCACGGTAGTTTTTACAGTCCTGCTGTGACCTTTTTCTCTTATATATTGGGACGGCTTTGCACCAGTATTCCGGTACCCGCTTCAGTTCCCAACATAAATTAAACATGGTGTACATCAGACCTGCCAATATTCCCTGCATTGAGATACTTACGTAATGGGCTGTCTGCTGGATCAAGCCAAATCAAGTCGAAATATCTCAAAAACTTCTTTATAATATGTTGACGTATCACATTGCGAAGTTTTCAAATAAATTATTCTAAGCAACGAACTATAAAAACTAATTTTAAAAGATAATTTTGTAATACTTGACACTGGCAAAGGCACATAAGAATCTCCGCTACGAGTAATAGTGTTCTGTGATAAAAATCCATTACTAAAAAAATAAGACATAGTTCCGTGTCTGTGGACATGACACCTTGACATTGACACTTGACAGAAAACCTATAATTTGTAGTTTGTAGGTGTGTACTGTGTAGGTATTCTGATTTTCATCTCTTCTTTGAAGATTTCGAATTGTGTTTTAATAAGTGCAGTGATTACATTCTCTTTTTATTAAGTCATATAAACGGCAGATCCGACTTTTAAATCTTTTAAATTTCATAATTTATTTACTATAATGTCAGATCGACTTAAAAGTACAAATAAAGTCTCCAATGAGGAAGTTATAGATGATTTAACAAAGGACCTAGAGGGTTCTTTGAAGACTCAAGATCCGGCACCGGAATATGTGATAAATCCGGGATCCAGCCTGGACGACTACCTTCCACCTACGGAAAACGCACAGAAAAATGCAGGTAAGTCGTGATCTAATGGCATAGGTATTACCACGCGCTGTGGTCAGTAACCGCGCCCATATTCACTTATTCATTTTGCTTTATTGCCGTCAATAAATGCTATGATATAACTCTTTGTTCGACTTTGCTTTGAGGTTAAGTGAGAGATAAAAGTGTCGTATTTTTTTTAGCTTAAATATATTGTTACAGTGCTGTTGAGTCACTATAGTAATTTTTGTTGTCTTGGTGGTGGTTTTAACCTCTGTAGATTAGTAAGTGTTTTTAATTGTGCTGTTTTTATGTAAGTTTTAGTTATAGAAATATAATGGAAGACGAATCTCCTGATCCCGAAAGGGTTCGCAATGACTCCTTTACTTTATCCATTGACAATGTAGAATCTATTAACCGTAAACACGCCCAAATAAGTAATGGGTCTGCCCATCCACAAAAAATAGTTATTACTGATCCAAACCAACAGTTTCCTTCAATACAATCCTCATATACCCATCCTGATTTTATTAATAAGAAAGTAAAGTACTGTCAAGATGATACCGCGCCTTTTCTAGTTCACATAAGTAAAACGTCAAATGATCAAGTGTCCGAAGTAACTCTCAAACCAATTAAATTTGGTCAATTTCTGTATCATAATAACATTAAAAATATAGTTTGTGACGGTGTCAAAAAAGTTTGATGAAACATATTTACTGTTTTTACACCTCTATGCCAGTAGAAAAGTATGTTTTGCCACTCATTCAGTCATAAATGTTGCAGATTTGGCAATGTTACTTCTCAGTGCCGATCATCCCCTCGCTGCTTTATATGTGCACAGAATCAGGAAGGTTTATCATGTACTAGGCAAACTCCTACTTGTCTATTCTGCTCAGCACCCCACACAGTAAAAGACCCTACCTGCCCTGAACATCTAAGGCAAAAATCTATTAAACTAGTTAGTCACAAGAAAATATATCATATTTAGAAGTAGTATGAAGATCCTTTGCTGACACAACAAGAAGTCCGCCTCGTAATTCTTCTCATCAGTCCCCTTATCCCATAAATGACAGTATTTCAGCTCCTTCGGCTCAGCCTTCACAATGTACATCATATAAAAAAACAATCTTTATCCCTCAACACACTTACAACCAATCATCAAATTCTGGATATGATAAGCCAGCCCATCAGGCAATTGTTGAGAATCCTCCTTCTTCCTTTCCAAATGGGTGTGCTTTACTGAGGAATGACAACATCTCTAATAATGATAACTTCTGCGAACTTATGGTATCAATGTTAATTAACACGATTTCCCATTTCAGTGACACAGAACATCCCCTCAGTTTACGTCATAAACTTACTCAGCTTACTTCAATAACTAGCAACATTCACAATTCTACAATGGAATTGTCGGAGCATCAAACAATAAAAGAATGAACTTATTTTTCTTATTAATAAATTTAGTCCACTTGTTCTTGCCATTCAGGAGATGTGGCTTAGACCTGACTCCCAATTTAGGATCTCAGGTTATTCATGTCTTCGGGATGATAGGAGCGATGGATATGCTGGCTCCTCTATTCTGATTTCAAAAAAAATTACATATTCTTCTATACCTCTTCCTTCCCACAGCTCCTCGATTAATGCCGTTGCAGTCAAGGCTCTCAACATATCTTTTCTGTCTGTATACATTCCTGATCCTAATGTTACCATCTTAAATTAACTTTTTAATCTTATTTCTTGTCTAACTTTATTTTAATATTCAAAGTATTTAATATTATATACTTTGATTTTAATATTCACCATACTTCATGGGGCTCACATCACTGCGATTCTTTATCATCTACGTTTTTAGATATGATAGATCTACGTTTTTAGATATGATAGACGACTTAAATCTTTGCATCCTTAATGATGGTTCTCCTACCCACCGTGTTTCATCTTCTCAGAATGTAAGAAGTGTAGTGGACTTGACTCTTTGTTCTCCTGGCTTAGGTTCCCTTCTATCATGGAAAACATTACCAAATTCACATGGTAGTGATCACTATCCAATTTTTATCACATCTGCTCACTCTATAAGTGCAAATTCTTAATTTAACCCGAGGTTAAAATATAATTTATCAAAGGCAGACTGGCATTATTATTCTTCTGTTTTAGATCAAGCAACATCAACAATTCCTTCTTTGCATCATGAAAATGTACATTCAGTCTATACAGAATTCAAAAATATATTATTATCTTTTGCCAATAAGACTATTCCTTTAAAACAACCCTACAGAATCAATTTGGCCTTGGTGGGACCAGAGGACCTTGCAAAAAAAGGAAAAACGCTGAATAAAAATACTCTTTATCAATGACCATGGAAAACTACATTTCCTATAAACAAGTAGCAGCTGAAACAGTGAAATTGCTATCCCAGAAGAAAAAAAACGGCTGGCATAGGTTTTGTTCTACCTTTTCTCCTTCCACACCTCCTTCTCTAGTCTGGAAAAACATTAAAAGATATTGCTGTTCTAATACAGTTGAACAGAATGTGTCTTCCAATGACCCTTCAATTTGGCTTGAAGAATTTGCACTTAACTTGCCCCTCCTTTAGTGCCTACACATGCTGAATGTTTAGTTTTTAATTCTCCTTCTATACAATCTCTAGATGAATTTGATGCCCCCTTTTCTTACGAGGAATTATTTACAGTCCTTCAGGGTCTTAAGGACTCCAGGAGTAGATGGGATTCCTTACTCATTCATTATTAAAAGCAGTAAAAAAACTAAAACTGTATTTCTTGACATTCAGAACCACATTTATGACTCTGGAATTCCACCCAAAGAATGGAAGACACAAATAATACTTCCTATTCTCAAACCGGGTAAACCCAGTGAAGACTTTTCAAGTTACAGACCCATTGCACTGTAGTGTACAATGGCAAAGATATTATAACGTCTGATAAAAAATCGGTTATACCCCATTTAGACTCTCTCCTCGCGCCTCGCCTCGTACCTCGCCTCGCAGCTCGCGTGTTGTTGCGAGGTAACGAGTGCCTGTTTACACTCTCGCGATGCGTTCAGTTTGCGTTGAACCAGCAACGATGGAAGACGTCGAAATAATAGCGGCATCAACCTTATGCCTTAATAAATATTTATCGATGCTTGACCATTTTAAAAAGAAGGAAATTAAAAAAATTCGTAGATTTTTTCAAAGATTTCATAGATTGCTTTTTTCTTCGTAGGTGTTGACGAAAGGTAGCCATAAGCGAATTCTTTTTTACTTTGAGCTCTGCTAGCGGTGTGCACATAACCTCGGAAATTCTATTCCACGCATCATTTACTTTTTGGGTATTTTTATGCATAATATGTTTTGGATCCCAAATTATTCGCTTAGCCTGATAAGAGTTCCAAGAACTGCAGCGTTTCTTCTTGCGGCTAGTCCATTTTTAATTGAAGTCGAACGTGTAAACCCAACAAAACAACACAACCTGCACGGAAGGGCGCCGTAAACAAACTGAAACGAGACGCGAGTGTAACCACCATGCTCGCGTCCCTCGCGAGGCCCTTTGCCTCGTGCCCAAAAACCCGCCTCCGACGCGAGCGCCGCGAGTGGCGAGGCGAGCTGCGAGGCGAGCCACGAGCTAGCGTTTACACTCGTGCCTCGTCGCTCGCGCGAGAGTCTAAATGGGGTATTCGAATGGTTCCTAGAGAGTAAGGATGTTTTACCGAGAGCCAATTTGGCTTTCGAAAAAGCTTAAGCACTATGGATAGCCTCAGTACACTAGTAACTGACATCCGGTTTGCTTTTACTAAAAATGAATACCTTTTTGTAGTCTTTCTCGATATTTCATCCGCATATGACCAATGTTTTTTTTTTTTTTCTTATAGGATACGGGTGACAAACGAGCACACAGTCCACCTGATGGTAAGTATGTGGTTGCAGTGGCCCATAGACATCTACATCTATCGTCTATTACAAATCAAAATGTAGATGCGTTGTCACCCCTGAGGACTAAGATGGAATGCCTCATTTCCAGTAAAAAGGGCCTCCGGCCACCTGCACTCACTAAGCGAAACGCAGAGGTAAACCTTCTTCCTGTACGCAGGCAAAAAATGCTGAAGCTGAGTATACCAGTGAAGATGGTGATTGATGATGGTGTTGCAGATGTTCATGGGCGGCGGTAGTCACTTACCATCAGGTGAGCCACATGCTCGTTTGCCCCCTCTCTTATAAAAAAAAAGATAGTAAACTATATATCAAACTTTTTCTCTTCTCTGTCTATTTTAATAAACTTTCAAAACTCACTACTCCCCCCCCGACATATTTGGAAAGGTCTTCCACAAGACTCAGTCCTCAGTCCTATTCTCTATAACAGAACACATGACAGATGATTTAGCCCTATACATTTCTACAGACAACCTGACTACAGCTAATTCCCGGTTAAATTCTACCATGGAATATTTACAAGGCTGGTTAACTGATCATGGTCTATCCCTCTCTGTTTCCAAAAGCAGTATAGTGACTTTTACTCGCCATAGCAATGTCCCTAATATTCCAGTTTTATATAATGGCTTACCCATTCCTATTCGGGACAAGGTAAAATTTTTAGGTATGCTACTAGATAATAAATTATTCTTTACACAACACATTGAATATATTTCTAAAAAGTGTGAGAAGAGTATAAATATTCTTCGTTCCCTTTCAGGAGTGTGGTGGGGATCTCACCCTTTTTTACAAAAGCTACTATATAATGCTATAATTCGTAGTCATTTAGATTATGGATGCTTTCTTTTAGAGCCATGCAATAAATCGTCACTTAAAACTTTAGACAAAATACAGTATAAATTAGACATGGAGCGAGTAGTGATTCACCGAATACTTGGCTTTAAAAAAACGCGGTAGCGGACGGCATGTGGTTATTTCCCTTACACAGAGTTAGAGATGGAACGATACGAGTAAATACAAGTAGTTACTCGATACTTTTTTTTCTATACTAAGTGCTTTGGGTATCGATACTTTAAAACTTAGTACCAAGTAGTATCGAACGAAAAGT